GCTCCATCTTATATTACAGATCTTATTGTTCCATATTTTCCTAACAGAGCACTTCACTCTCAGACTGCAGGTTTACTTGTGGTTCCTAGAATTTACAAAAACAGAATGGGAGGCAGATCTTTCAGTTATCAGGCTCCTCTCTTGTGGAACCAACTTCCAATCTCTGTCCGTGAGGCTGACACATTATCCAGTTTTAAAACTGGGCTTAAGACTTTCCTTTTTGCTAAATCCTATAGTTAGGGTTGGCTTGGGTTTCCTGAGCTGTCCCTTTGTTATGCTGCTATAGGCTTAGACTGCTGGAGGACAAACTGACCACAATTTTCACTCTACTTCTGTCTTTACTTACTCTGCTCAACCTGTTTTGTATTTGTAATTATTTTTTCTATCCTTAACATGTTTTTTGTCTTTCAGGTTCACCTGTACCTATACCTGGACCTACCATTCTGTGTTCGTCTGTCTCTCCTTCCTGTTCTCTCAACCAGCCGGTCAATGCAGATGGACGCTTGTCCTGAGCCTGGTTCTGCTGGAGGTTTCTTCCTTTTAAAAGGGAGTTTTTCTTTCCACTGTTGCCACTGTGCTTGCTCAGGATGGGAGACTGCAACGAAGCCAAGATTCAACTTGTCTGCTGGATTCCTTAGATAGAGAACTTTACTAATTGGTTTTTATGTATGTGAATGTTCCTGTAAAGTGCCCTGAGACAACTTTGTTGTGATTTGGTGATATATAAATAAACTGAATTGAATGTTCCCTAGTCAGTCAAAACAATCTTCTCAGTTGTTTTGCACAAAGTCTCTTTGTGTAAAAAGCCGTTCGCCTTGGACCCCCGAACTGAGCGGTTCGTCTCCGGCCCAGAACAGGAAGACGATTCGTCTGTGGACCCGATCCTGGAGGTTTTGCCAAGTTACACTCATTCAACTCCTGAGCAGATAAACATGTCGCTCAAATTACAATTAAATTAAATAACTGCAGAAGATGAAGCCTTTTCTCACTGCAAGACTCACGCTCTCGGCTGAAGGTTGTGATGGACGCTGCACCTTCTCATCAGCTGTTGCCCTCACAGACCCCTGAAGCTGTCACAGTGACGGTCATCTACTTTGGGCAGTGAGTCCTCCTCATGGTGCTCTGGTCTGATCCACCAGAGAACCCCAGAAAGACGAGTGGTGCCTTCAACACTGACCCGGTAAGGAGCAGAACCTGGTGACATGATACAACTCTTGGTCTGGTTGATATTTTAAGCT